AGAAGATCATTAGCATTTCTATACACTCAACAATGACAAACTGAAAAAAAGAATGTATGAAAACATTCCCATTTACCATAGCTCAAAACAAAAAATCAAAATACTAGTGTAAAACCTAACAAAAGATGTGAACAGACCTCTACAAGGAAACTATACACTTCGAAGAAAGGGATTGAGGAAAGACTAAGAAAGTGAGGAGATTCTCCCATGCTCATGGATTGGGTAGAATCAACATAGTAAAAATGTCGATACTCCCCAAAGTAATCTACATGTTTAATGCAATTCCCATCAAAATTCCAATGACATTCATTAAAGAGATTGAAAAAGTCTACTGTGAAATTTATATGGAAACACAAGAGGCCACGAATAGCCAAGGCAATACTCAGTCAAAAGAACAATGCAGGAGGTATCACAATACCTGACTTCAAACTATATTACAAAGCAATAACAATAAAAACAGCATGGTACTGGCACAAAAACAGACATGAAGACCAGTGGAACAGAATAGAGGACCCAGATATGAAGCCACACAACTATGAGCAACTTATCTTTGACAAAGGAGCTAAAAATATACGATGGAGAAATAGCAGCCTCTTCAACAAAAACTGCTGGGAAAACTGGTTAGCAGTCTGCAAAAAACTGAAACTAGATCCATGTATCACCCTATACCAAGATTAACTCAAAATGGATCAAGGATCTTAATATCAGACCACAAACTCTAAGTTGATACAGGAAAGAGTAGGAATACTCTGGATTAGTAGGTATAGGTAAGAACTTTCTCACGAAACCCCAGCAGCACAGCAACTAAGAGATAGCATAGATAAATGGGACCTCATAAAACTAAAAAGCTTCTGTTCATCAAAAGAAATGGTCTCTAAACTGAAGAGAACACCCACAGAGTGGGAGAAAATATTTGCCAACTATACATCAGACAAAGGACTGATAACCAGAATATACAGGGAACTTAAAAAACTAAATTCTCCCAAAACTAATGAACCAATAAAGAAATGGCAAGTGAACTAAACAGAACTTTCTCAAAAGAAGAAATTCAAATGGCCAAAAACACATGAAAAAATGCTCACCATCTCTAGCAATAAAGGAAATGCAAATTAAAACCACGCTAAGATTCCACCTCACCCCTGTTAGAATAGCCATCATCAGCAACACACCAACAGGTGTGGCGAGGATGCGGGGAAAAAGGAACCCTCTTACACTGTTGGTGGGAATGTAACTAGTACAACCACTCTGGAAAAAATTTGGAGGCTACTTAAAAGCTAGACATCGATCTACCATTTGATCCAGCAATACCCTCTTGGGGATATACCCAAAAGACTGTGACACAGGTTACTCCAGAGCACCTGCACACCCATGTTTATTGCGGCACTATTCACAATAGCCAAGTTATGGAAACAGCCAAGATGCCCCCACTGACGAATGGATTAAGAAAATGTGGTATCTATACACAATGGAATTTTATGCAGCCATGAAGAAGAACGAAATGTTATCATTCGCTGGTAAATGGATGGAATTGGAGAACATCATTCTGAGTGAGGTTAGCCTGGCCCAAAAGACCAAAAAATATGTTCTCCCTCATATGTGGACATTAGATCAAGGGCAAACACAACAAGGGGATTGGACTTGAGCACATGATAAAAGCGAGAGCACACAAGGGAGGGTGAGGATAGGTAAGACACCTAAAAAATAGCTAGCATTTGTTGCCCTTAACGCAGAGAAACTAAAGCAGATACCTTAAAGCAACTGAGGCCAATAGGAAAAGGGACCAGGAACTAGAGAAAAGGTTAGATCAAGAAGAATTAACCTAGAAGGTAACACCCACGCACAGGAAATCAATGTGAGTCAACTCCCTGTATAGCTATCCTTATCTCAACCAGCAAAATCCCTTGTTCCTTCCTATTATTGCTTATACTCTCTCTACAACAAAATTAGAAATAAGGGCAAAATAGTTTCTGCGGTATTGAGGGTGGGGGGGAGGGAGGGGGCGAGTGGGTGGTAAGGGAGGGGGTGGGGCAGGGGGAGAAATGACCCAAACATTGTATGCACATATGAATAAAATAAAAATTAAAAAAAAAAAACCATCACACAAAAAGAACTGGTGGAGTGACTCAAGTGGTAGAGCGCCTGCCTAGCGAGTATGAGGCCCTGAGTTCAAATCCCAGTACTGCCAAAGAATAAATAAATAGTTGGGGTTCAAAGCCAGAGTGCCACCAAAAAAAAATTAAAAATCCTCACTACCAACAAGTATAAATCCAAACTTTTTTTTGGCAGTACTGGGGTTTGAACCCAGGGCTTTGCACTTGTCAGGCACCATAGCTCGCGCCTTGTGCTTTTTCCTTCAGTTATTTTTTATTGGTGGTGATGGTGTCTTAAGAACTTTTTGCTTGGGCTGGACTTGATCCTAGTTCCTTCTGATCTCTGCCTCCCCAGTGAGTGATAAGAACTGCCCCTTCTGCAGCCTAAGCCACAGCTGGTTTCATCCCTTGCAGAACAAAGCCCCACTGTCCCTTATCTCCTGCCACCTCTCCTCTCTTTGTTTATCCCTAGCCCTTGCTTTCTCCAACGTGCTACTTAAGTCCAGACCCACTGAGAGAAGCTGCTGCGCCATTTTCTCTCAGCCAGCCCACCTGCTTATTAAACTTTGGACATGAGATAACTCTCGTAAGCCTCCTTTGTGTGTGGTGTGTGGAGTTTTCCTAACACCCAGTAGCTCGGATTACAGGCATGGCCCTGGTTCCCAGCAAATCCAATTTTTTTTTTTTGCATCAAATCCCACCTTCCCTGCCTCATCTTCCACCTCTTCCATCATGGGCCCTGTACTGGAAGCATACTAAACTGCTTGTAGTTCTCCAAACAGGATCTTTGTGACTGTATGAAGCACTTATCTCCCTTGTTGACCTAGAGAACTCCTACTTAAACCTCAAGACCCAGCCCCTCCAAGAAATCTTAGTTTGGACTTCCACAGTGCTTTGTCCATGCCTCTGCCTTCTCTTTCATAGGTGTGGCCAACATGGGCTTCTGCCCCAGTTGAGGATCTAAGTCTTAAGGGGACAGAGGTCTTCACCCCTTTCCCTGCAGCACAATCAGATACACTCATTGGTCACAGGAGACTAAAATGGCTTGGCTAGACCCCAAAGAGCCAGGAACAAAACCTATTTCGAGTGACATGCCAGACCACCTAAGCAGGACTTGCAAAGGAGATGGCCGAGAACTTGTTTTGCGACACCAAAGGGCTGACGTTGCAGAGAGCTCACACAAAGGAAAAGTGCCGGGGGCTGGAGGGTGGTTGAGTGGTAGAGTTCCTGCCTAGCAAGTGTGGGGCCCTGAGTTCAAACCCCACTACCACCAAAAAAAAAAAAAAGACAAAATAAAACAGAGAAGAGTGCCAGCCAGTGGCCTGGTCAAAGGTGTGTCTCTCCTCAGGACCAGGCTTGGCTGGAGCCCAGCAGAGGAATCTGTCCCTGGTCCCATAAGGGTAGAGAGACTTGGGCACAAAGAGGCCAGAGCTGGGTGCTAAGTGCTGAGGCCGATGGCTTGGGAGGAAGCCAGCGCGAGGGGACTGCCTGTGTCAACAGCGGCAATCAGAAGGGCCACGGGTGACCTCTGCCGATTCTTCCTCCCCTCTGCACCCTGGGTGGAATGGCAGTGGAGGAAGGCGAAGGCTCTTCCTCTACAAGCCAGCTAGAGGCTCGGCTCAGAGGTGCAGCCAGGTAGGGACGTCCAGGACAGTTTCCCTCAACGACCCTTCCAGCTTACAGGAGAGCCCTGTCTTCTTGGAAAATCCTGTGGGCATTTCACTCGATCTTCCAAGAACTCTGTTTGCCTTGACTACCAGGAAGCTGAGAGGCCATGTTTCCTGTTTACCCTGGGAACTGAATTAGCTCTTGCGCTGAGCATCTGTGTCCTTTTTCTCCTATTGCTTTGGGTTTTCTATCCTGCTGCGCATTTGCCCCTTACTGTCTTTTCCACATCCTGGGAGAAAGAAGGATGGTATAAACAAGTCATTTCAGCATTAACTGATTACTGGGCTCTAAAATGCTGGAGACAGACAGACAGCACCTTTGGTGAGCCCCTCCCTCAGGTCACGCTCAGTGCAGAGCTCCCTTTAGGAGTACTTTAGGACAGCCCACTCATGGCCACGATTCCAGCAGGAAAACCCACTGGGCTGAGCCAAGAGACCAGATCCTTGCTGTGTTCTTCACTCCCTGACTGTGTCCCACGGCTCCTCCAGCCTGGGATCCACCCTTCCCAGCAGCCACTTCAGGCCCTTGGCCTCCCCACCAGGCTGTGTCTGTTTGTCATAATCCGATTTTCCCTGAGAATCAGTGTGGGTGGGGAAGTTCCCAGGACGTGCGGTCAGCCAGTCAAGTACCTGGTAAACCGGGTATTGCTGGGTAGTGGCTCCCTGGCGAGGGTTTTCCTTTCACTCCGAACCACCGTAAACCCATCTTCAGAAACAGTCAGCCACGGATGGCAGGTGTCCTTGTTCAGGTGAAAGGAGCTTCCTGTTGGGGAGGGAACATCCGGAAAAGCCTCCAGCTTGTCATTTCATCCCTGTCTCCACCAGGACTTGTGGGATTGGGGGAGCACTCTATGCCTGTGGGATCCTTTGGGATCCACAAAACCCTAACCCTGGCAGACTCCTAACTCACCCATGGGGAAGGATGGCAGGTACCATGCTCTGAAGCTGAGCCCTGAACTAAGCAACTTGCCGGCCTCGCTTCCTTCGGCCCTCGCCATTTCCTTCAGAGCAGGTGTTTCTGCTCCCATTTTGTAGATGTGGAAACTGAGGACCGTGGTTAAGAAACTAGCTGGCGAATGCTAGAACTGGAGTTTGAACTCCATGGTCTCTCGTTCCACAGACCACACTCTTAACTTGTAGGTGTGCTTCCTAATCCCGGCCTGCCACAGGGATTAGGAAGGAATTTAGGGAATTCTTAGTGATCCACTGACAAAAGATGGCAAAATTCAGCATTCAGCCAGGCACTGGTGGCTCATGCCTGTAATCCTAGCTGCTCAGGAGGCAGAGATCATGAGGATTGTGATTCAAAACCAGCCCAGGCAAATAGTTCCCGAGACCCTGTCTGCAAAAAGAAACTTGGCAAAAAAAAAAAAATTCAGCATTCACCTCCAAGTTAGGAGAGTGGGGAAGAAGGAAGGTGCTGCAGTCAATCCCCAAACTACCGATTAAAATGCAGCCCTGTGGTGCAGTGGCTCATTTCCTATAATCCCACGTACCTGGAGAAACAGCGATGCAGGAAAGCTCTCAGTTCAAGGCCAGCCCTGGCAAAGAGTCTGTGAGAGTGCATCTCAACCAATGAAGAAGCTGGGAACGGTGGTGTGCACCAGTCACCTCAGCTATGGGAAGCATACACAGGAGCTACTCTGCCAATCCCAATATTTAAAAATGATATAGCTACTTGGGAGGCAGAGACAGAAGGACTGAAGTAGGTTGAAGACCAGCCTGGGCGAAAGTTATCAAGACTGTCCATCTAAAGACAAAGCCAGTCACAGTGGTACATGTCATAAATCCACAGCTACTCAGGAGGCAAGTGTAGGAGCTGGCCCAGGCAAAAAGACCCTATCTAAAAAATAAAACTAAAGGAAAAGGAAAAGGTGAAGATGTGGCTCAGGTGGTAGAGCTCCTGCCTAGCAAGAGTGAGGCCCTGAGTTTAATCTCAGAAAAGGAGAATCTATAAGACTCTATTAGATGTATTAGAATCGAATAAAACATCATTTAATTTAAAAATTCCGTTATTAGGAACTTAGTGAGTCACTCCTCGTCGTTTCTTAGCCACACTCTTTTCCTGGGTTCTCATTGTCTGACCCTCCGGTTAAGTGTCACTAGCAGACTTCACAGTGACTTGCCCAGTGCCACCCGCTGGGCACTCCCCTTGCTCTCTGAGCTGACGGCATAGGAGGCCAGTCCTACCTGGCACTCCATACTGTGTGGCCCTTACTGCCCACTCCCCGTCCCAAAGGTGAGCATGTCATTCTCGTTAGTTCCTGTCCACTGAGATTCCAGAAACATGGGACTCTTCCTCTAATTCAGCGAGGGCAGAACGACGTCTCTGCTCTGTTCTCCTGTTTTGAGTCAGCCAGCACCTGACATTCCGAACCATCAAGCCAGCGCAAGACGGGGAGGAGCCCAAGGGCCACACCTAGCAGAAAACCTGTCCTGCTCTGTGGCCTCAGGCGGCCGCTGGACCTCTCTCTCCCACCGGTGTGGAAGGAATATAAATGGGGTTCGTCACAGACCTCTTCCGGCATTGGACATGGGGACAGAGTGACACAAAGTCTCTCAGTGAAACAGACTTTGTCCCCGAGCCCTGGCCAGGTTCCCTGCTTCTGCAGCCTGCCTGGAACTCACCCAGTCCACTCCGCCAGCCTGAGGCAGATTTGCTCTGTGAGGGGTGGGGAGGTCGGCCTGGCTGTGGGCACCTCAGCAAAGCCCAAGGAGCAGAGCTGTAGTGGTGCCAGGATGCCGGGGGACACGGATGTTTGCTTCTTTTCTTTTTTTTTTGGTAGTGCTGGGGTTTGAACTCAGGGCCTCAGGCTTGCTAGACAGGTGCTCTACCACTTGAGCCACTCTGCCAGCTCTTTTTACTTTATCTTTCAGGTAGTGTCTTGTGTTTTCCCCAGGCCTGCCTGTACCATCCTACCTCATAGCTGGGATCACAGATGCACACCACCACCTGGCTTGTTGATTGAGGTAGGGTCTCCCTAACGTTTTTGCCGCAGGCTGGGCTTGAACCTTCATCCTCTGGCTTCTTGAGTAGCTATGATTACAGGCATGAGCCACCTGCCTTGCTTGTGTGTGGATGTTTTTTAGTGACTCTCTACCAACATCAGGACTTGGATTGTGAGATGTGACAGTTCTCTGACATGATGGTGGCAGATGGGAAGGGACGTGAGGGCCCCCTGTGGCCAGCAGGTCCAAGGAGGGGGCTGGACAGGGTTGCTGAGTCAGCCTGTAGCTGGGGCAGGAGGTGACTGGGCTAATGGAAGGAATGGGGAGGTGAGTTGAGGCCAGTGGCTGTTCCCAGGGCTTTCACAAAGACCCCGCCCCAAGGGAGGGGGTCAGCCTGCGTATACCCAGGTATCTGGGTCACCAACTCAGCAGGACAAGTCTCTGGCCCACCTGAGGGCATGAAGGAAAACCTCAGTTCTCATGCTTCCCTGTCACCAGGGAAGTGGGTGCCTTGGGCCTTCAGCCTCTCCATTTGTAAAATGAACCCTCGGGGACTGGCCTGCCATGGGCCCACACCTACGCCTCCTCCTCTTCTTTCTGGAAGTCTTAGCAGCCCCGGATCTGCCGCAAAGTGGCCACTTTGGGTCCCAGAGAGTGTGCTGAGTGTGTGGCGGGGCACAGACCTGTGGTGTGCACCGTGGCAGACTCGCTCCGGGCGCTGGGGCCCCCCACGTTGAGGGCTCGCACGTAGATGACGTAGCTCTGCCCGGGCAGCAGCTGGATCAGCGCCTCGCAGGTCGGGATGCCCACAAGAGACCTGGCAGGGGAGTGGAGCCAGACAGCGTGGGCCGGGGCCATCGCAGCCAGGGTTTTGTTACAAACCTGTCACGCACCCACTGTCCTCTGGACCACAGCAGCACAGCCAGACTGTCGCCCTCCTTGCTGTCCCTGCTGGGGACAGCTGTGGACCATTGGGGACAGCCATGGGCCACTGGGGGCCGCTGCCTCTTGGGAATAATCCCCCTCATTCCAACTGTGCCACACAAGAACACAATGCCACAACTGCCACTGTCCCTATGCCTGTGGTTGCTGACCCCCAGAGAAAACTTCAGTGCGGTGCCCGTTTACAGATACCACAGCTCAGCCAGACGAGGCCAGGGTGTCCAGGTCACCTTGGAGACTGCAGCTCCAGACAGAAGAGCAACTTTTGCTTATTCACTCAATAGATACTAACTAAGCGCCTTAAGTTTCCAGCTGCTGTATGAGGAGGCTCTGGGGGGATCCAAGCTGCCTTTGCTCGTAGAGTTTGCAGTCGGGGGAAGAGAGGCATTCCTCAAGCAGTCACTGGGGTCACCACGGCAACTCCACAGTGTGTTTTAGAGTGTGGTATATGGGGGGATTTTGAGCTGAGCTCGGAAGAATGACGGGGGTAACTGGATGAAAGGGGGATAGAGAAGTCTCCAAAATAAGAAAAGAACGTGCAAAGGCCCTGAGGCAAGAAAGAGCAGGGAAAGTATTAGGAACTAAAATATGAGCAATATGGCTGGAACCAGAGAGAGGGGTACTGGTGAGGGGTGAGCAAGAGAGGTAGGAAGGGGCTAGAGCCCGGGACGGAGTTTTGCTTTTCCTTCAGCAGTGGGTGACATGGTTAGATTTGTGCTGGGAGAGGAAGCAGGGCCTTGGATCACCCCACCGGGACATGCACAGACACCCTGAGGATCCCGTCATGAAAGGCGGTTTCAGGTGCCCGGTGCTCCTAAACGCTCAGCACAAGCTGTGAAGGAGTCAGGGTGGCCAGAACCACTGGACTCCCTGTCCGACTCCTGAGTCGCTGTTGAAGTAGACAGCCAAGGTTGGCCTTGATCTGGCTGTGGACGCACAGATTGCACAAGGACAGACGGATGGGAGGAATGGCCGGGTGCCAGGGGCCTCACCTAGCAGAGAAGAATCTGCTCCCTAACAGCTGACTCCAAAGCCTCCTGCATTTCCCCAGATGCAGCTCGGGACAGCCCTCAGCTCCGAGCAGGCTGACCTGGGCTTGGCGGCTGGCGCTCGGCCAGCTGTCCCCTCCTGAACTCACAGATTTCTGGGCGCCCGCCGCAACCAGAGAGCCCCGTGCTTCTGTACAGAGCTGCGGATCTGTGGCATGAGTCCACCTGTGTTGTCCCTCACCGACTTGTGAACGCCTTCTGCCTCTGACATCAGAGTGACGAGGAGCCTCCAGACAGCTGAGCTCTTTGAACTGGGCTGTCCTTTCCCTGTCCTCTCTGGTCTGCACTCCAGCCAGCTCAGGCCGGCCCTAGTTCCTGCAGCCCGGCCAGCTGGCTCCTGCCGGGCCTATGCCCATCGTGCGCCACCACTAGAGCCTCCATTGCTCTTTGGCCTCCATGCCTCCCATTGTCCGCAAAAAGAAGGGTGTCATGCTCTAATCATACAGTTTCTTTTTCTTTCCTAGCTCTGTGCATTTCACACACCGGTTTGTGAAAGAGGCTAGTGGCCTCTTTTGCTCGCTGGACTGTCACCTCCATCAGGGCAGGGAATGGTCTTTACTTCCCCACCTAGGCCCTCGATACTTGATGAATGAATAAATGATTGGGAAATCTTAGTTGAGCACAAAAATCATCAAAACCCAGTTTGATCCACTCACTCACTCATTCAGCCCACTCAGCTCAATAAAGTCATTCCTGCTACTTCTCACAAACGCTAATCGGCCCAAGATGGAGATGCCTGTGTTACACAAATTCTTGCCTTTTCTCCAGACCCCAAATATCTCTAAGCCGCCCAGCGACCACCCTCAGGACTCACTCAGTCACCCCTGAGGCTCCTGGCGTTTCTACCGGGGTCAGCTCCACGGTGTAGGAGTCCACTGGGTTCAGGTTCCCAGACTCCCAGCAGACCAGAGCGGCCTCTTCACAGCTCCTTATCTCTTTGCATTTTATAATCGGGGGAGAAGGGGCTGCACCAGGAGAGAGGAGCAGCCATTATGTTATTTCCATTTTGTTCAGAGGCCATGGAACCTCCATCACCACTCACCCTCCTTCCCACAAAAGATTCAAGGATCTAGCCGGGTGCCTGTGGCTCACGCCTGTTATCCTAGCTACTTGGAAAGCTGAGATCAGGAGGATTGTGGTTTGAGGTGAGCACAGCCAAATAGTTCAAGAGACCCTAGCTCCAAAATAACCTGAGCAAAGTATACTGGAGGTGTGGCTCAAGTGGTAGAGCACCTGCTTTGCAAGTGGGGAGCCCTGAGTACAAACCCCAGTCCAACTAAAAAGAAAAATAGATTTAAGGTTCTAGATGGAGGCATGGCTCAAGTGGGAGGGCACCTGTCTAGCGCAGTGCAGGACACTGAATTCAAGTCCCAGTACTGCCAAAGAGGGAAACATGCAAAGTTCCAGGAAGGTTAATCCACCCCACCTCTTTTCTTTTCCTGCCTCGCTTTCCTCTCTTCCTTCCTTCCTCCCCTTCCTTCATTCCTCCCTCCCTCTGTCCCTTTCCTCCCTCCCTCCCTCCCTCCCTCCTTCCTTCCCTCCCTTTCTTTAGTGCTGGAGATCAAACCTGGGGCCTTTGTACATTGTGTACAGCTCCAGAAAGAGCTGTTTTTTGGTTTTTGGTTTTTTTTAGTTCAACTATGAGAAAATGTCCCTGCTGCATCAGGCCTGTACATCTGATGTATTAAACGAAAGAAAAAAGCCATAGCTGAGCATGGTGCTTCACCCCTGTAATACCAGAGCTCCAGAGGTAGAAAAAAAGGATCATGAATTTGAGGCCTTTCTTGGGCTACATAGCAAGACTCTGTCTCAAAAAATTTAAAGATAATTAAAAATAAAAAAGAATGGCAAAAGTCACATAGCTGTTTCTGTCCTTTCAAATGAAACTGAGAGCCCTGCTATATCCAGAAACCTGTAAGTCCCATGTCCCCTGCTACAGAAAAGGAGCAGCCCCGTTACCTGTCATGTACACTGCGTGCTCACTGGAGGGGCTGAGGCCGGCCCTGTTCTGAGCCACAACCCAAAATTCATATTGTGTATTTGGCTCAAGGTTTCTCACTGAGCAATACGTTTCTTTGACTGTCAGCGTAAACTCTGGAAAACGAAAAAGGAGGGAGGAAGGAGGAGGAGGAGGAGGAGGAGGAGGAGGAGGAGGAGAAGGAGGAGGAGGAGGAGGAGGGTGGAGCAGAGATAGAGGAGGAGAGGGAGGAAAATTATTTAACCACGTGGCTGCAGATTAATCACACCGACCCTACTGCAGTGACAGCAGAGCTGGCTGGCAAGTCCCCATTCCCTGTGGCTCCTCCTGTTAAGAGGCCTCCAGCAGCAGCTGGGAAGAGCCAGCCCCACCCTGGTGCACGACGGCACCGCGATGGGCGAGAATCCAGCCCAGCTCCTCAACAAGGGACACCCGACCTTTCCTGCCCCCCATGCAGGCTCAGACTGAATCCAAGGACAGCTCTACACACACCCCAGACCTCATGGTCCTCTCCAGCTCTTCCTGTTGTGCTTACCCGCCTGCACCCCATCCTCTGCAGGTCCCCAAATCACCATGTCCCCAGGTGCAGCCCCCGGCCCCTTCTCCACCCTCTACCTTCCAGGGGGCAGGGCCCAGCCTGTGCGTGGCCGGAGCGGTCCCCGTGGGCTCACGTGAGCACGTCCTGGCAGAGCCTTACCTGCTTGGTCCTTCCCAGGCGAGCTGTCCCGCACTGGCCGGTAGGACAGCAGATAGGTCTCCACGGTGTCATCAGAGTATAAACTCCAGCACACCCGGACCGAGGAGCCTGTGGCTGAGTTGGGGGCCTGAGGATTTATCACTGGAGCAGAAGGAGCTAGCCAAGGAAAAGAGAGAAACTACAGAAAAGGAGGCTTAAGTGGAGGGGGGTGAGGGGGCCCCTTTGTCGGGACAGAGGGACGGAGGGTACCTTGTGGCGTGGACAGGATGTGAGGTACAACTCTCGACCACGAGCCTATAAGAGCAACCAGCGTTCCCATTCCCCGAATGTACAAATGCAGATGAGCTTGGGAACAGGAGCTGGTGACAGGGCCTCAGGATGGGGCAGGCTGTGGGTCCTGGTCCTTCCGTGGCATCTGAAAAGCCAGGTCACAGCACTGGGGCCCTGGGGTGAGCAGAGGGAAAGAAGCCTCCACGGGGACATCCAGCGACATCTCCCACAGTGCAGCGAGAGAGGATGGTGGAGGCCTCATCGTGTTTCTGCTCTGCGTAATTTCCCTCTCTGTGGGTTAATATGCTTCTGCCCCCCGCAGTCTCAACACACTGAGAAGAGCAGCAAGTCGTGTTCTCCCTCTGTCCTCTTCCTGCAGCAGCACCTCCCTTCATCTCAGGCTTTTAATAACACTCTTTAGTTCTAAAACTTTAAACGGATTGCCCAGGAATGAGTGCAGCTGACTTAAAGGTGTTTACTCAGCTACAGCTCATCCCTTGCTGTGTGGCCAGGACTGGAAGGGCACAGTGTGACCCGGGTGGGGAGGACAGAGCTTCCACCTGCAGTGGACAGAGTCCCAAGTGCCCAGAAGAGGCTGAGCCTGCACTGCTGAGGAAGCCGGCCCAGAGGTGCAGTGTGAGCGGAGGCTGGTCCCAGGCGCTCCTGACCACTCGGGAGGAACCGGGTGCAAGTGAGGGTGGTGGTCTGCATGGGGGCTGGAGGAGAGGAGAAAAGGAGGGAGGAGGAAAGGGCCAGGCCTCTCCTGCCAAGCGACTAGGTTATCTGGGCAGCACCATCCCTAGACAGGGAAAGGGCTGTCCAGCGGGTATCGTAGCTCAGGGAAATCTCCCCCGTGGTTCAGTGAGTCTAAGAATGGCCCCCAAGATTCATGGTTAAGATGCTCATTACAGTGAGATTTAAAACGCCAAAAAACTAGAAATAGCCTAGTGCCCAACAGGAGGACGAAGTAAACAAATCAAGGCATGTAGCCATTAAAATGGGGTTGTGGAAGAATTTACCCCTGCGAGAAAATAGCCATCATAATTATTTTGCTAAAAAGCAGAATGATTTGACTTTTATAAAAAAAATTTGCAAGAAGACCCCTGCAATGATCTACACCACAACCACATTGCCAGGTGCTGTAAGAAAGGGAACACAGCTGGATCCACCAGGCACGGTGGCTCATGCCTGCAGTCCCAGGTAGCTGGGAGGCACAGATGAGGTACATCACAGTTTGAGGCCAGACCAGCCAAACAGTTAGGGGGAGCCCATCTCAACCAATAAGCAGGGAATGGTAAGGCACATCTGTGAGTCCAGCCATGCAGGAAGATCACAGTCTGAGGTCGGCTCTGGGCAAAAATGTGAGACCCTACATGAACAATAACTAAAGCAAAAAGAAGTGTGAAGCCCTGAGTTCAAACCCCAGTATTGTCAAAAGCAAAAACAAAAACAAACCAGGAGCATACTATTCACCAGGTACCAGTGGCTTATGCCTGTAATCCCAGCTACTCAGGAGGCAGAGATCAGGAGGATCGTGGTTCAAGGCCAGCCCAGCAAATAGTTCATGAGCCCCTATCTTGAAAAAACCCAACACAAAAAAAGGACTGGTGGAGTAGCTCAAGGTGTAGGCCCTGAGTTCAAATATATACACGACAAGGGCTGTAATTAAAACAGTGTGGTGCTGGCATAATGGCAGACACATGTATCAGGGGGTAGAGCCCGTGTGTGTGTGTGTGTGTGTGTGTGTGTGTGTGTGTGTACACAGCTGATCTCTGAAAAGGTGTCAAGAACACAAAAAGGAAAAAGTGTCATCTCTTCAACAGACAATATTAGGAAAACTGGACACACACATGCAAAAATGAAATGTGACCCCTATCTTACGTCACACACAAAATAAATTCAAAATGGGCTAAAGATTTGAACATCGTCCTAAAACTGTGACAGTCCTTTCACAGTTTTAAAAATAGAAGTGGAAGGGAGGGAGGGAGGGAAGGAAAGAAGGAGGGAAGGGGATAAGGAAGGAAGGAAGGAAGGGAAGGGGGTAGGAAGGAAGGGAAGGGGGTAAGGAAGGGAGG